TCATGTCCCCAATACCTAGCATAATGCAAGACACATAATAGGCACTTGAATGTTTATTAAACCAATGAATAGGAGAAAGAAATTTTGCTTTAAATTGGAAGGATACAATTTCTCAAAGAAACCTTCAGGAATTATTTTTTTCAGATGAGAAAATAGGCCAAGAAAGGTTAAGTAACTTACTCAAGCCATGGTTCTCCTGAATCAGAATTCTCTTCCCACAAAATCAGGGTGCCTATTAATTCATGCTTATTGATCTAAGCTCTTCATGAACCTCCAGAAGTAATATAAAAATGTTTTCTAGAGAGGAACTATTTCAACTTCATCCACCCTGCTCTGGGTGGCTGTATCAGTTTTGGAGAGCTCTGATGTTAATTACTATTTAATAGTTTTTCTGTCCAGAATAGACTAATCTTTAATTAAACCAGTCTTTTCACACATTCTTCATGTACCATAATTCAATGTGTATTTATCACACATCTCTACATGAAAAACGTGCAAGTTATAATTTGTTAGCACTCAGAAAATGTATACTTAATATCATATGCCCTTTCACTTTAACAATACCTCAGATGTCTGCCTTAACGTGACTCAGTTGAGAAAGACAGATTGAATGTGAACGCTAGAGACAGGCACTGCAACATTATTGGGAAAATCCCTGTAGTCCAATGCTAATGTTCCCATTGGTTGCTATGCTATACTGCAAGTGTGTTACTGGGTAACAACTCAGAAGAGAAGACGCTAGCTCACTAAAAACAACTGAATCGAACCAAGATTTATAAAAGCACTCTGACACACAACTTTTTTATAACCTTAACTAAAGTAACTCTTTGTCACAAGTATGAGACACAGGATTCACAGTGAGACTATAAAAATTACCTAGAACTTATTTAAAGACATATTTTGAGAGTGATACGTGCTTTCCAAAAGAGAATAGCTAGGTTTAGATTTCTCCTACCTCTATGAATTTCAATCCAAAAGCAGTTTGAGGTTACAATATACAGAGAACAAATAAATGGACACTTGGTAACTTTTAATTTCTTTCTTCCTGGATTGTATCTCAGTTAAACTTAAAAAAAAAAAAGTGCTAGATCACAGAATGTGTGATCTTTCCATGACCCAGAGAGGCAGCCCTGATGGAAAAATGTAAAACTTAAGAAAACTGCTAATTTGTGAGGGTCAAATGAAAGTACTGACATAATTTCACAAGTTAAGTCTTAACCAGGTAAGAAGTAAAATGGAAAGGGAAAAGATGGGGAGATAGGGAGAGAGAAACGGAAGGAGGCAGGGAAGAGGAAAGGGTGAAAAAGAGTGGGGGTAAGTGTTTCTTAAAACCAAGATTCTACTAAAAGAACTAGGAAATTGACCAAACTCCCAAGCCCACTAGGGAATAGTGCTAGCATTCCTGAGGGAGTCCTTACTGCTGATATTGTCATGGGAAATTCTCAAATATTCACTTTCTAGGAACAGAACCTTTACTTTTAATTCCAGTGAATATCCTCTCTTTAATCCCCTTTCTTATGGTTTATAGTTGCCCTTCCTTCTTCAGTTACTCTAAGATTCATTTTCAGTACACTATGGGAGGAGAGAAAAAAGTAGAAATGCACATCCCTCATTCCTAATAGACATTTATTCAGCAACTTCTATTTGGAAGAGACTAAGGATACAGCTCATTGAGATGTGATGTCCTCCCCCTAAAGAGCTTACAATCTAGTTAAGAAGGTAAGACATACATAGATGGTCAAACAACACAATATAAAGTATCAAATGACTACGACAGGCAAATACATTCTATAGGCTTTCAGAGGTGAAGGGGTTCAGAACATGTTACCCCAAAATACACTGCTTTGGTATAATAATATTGAGTTTAAGGCACCTGAGAAACAGCAGATGCAAAAGGAGCACTCTGACCCTCAGTTTTCTTCTAGAAAGCAGGAGATAAAATTCCCACATGAAAGGTGCCCTCCCAGCACCAGGAGAAAGGCAGACATTCTATCACCAGAGACAGGGAAATCGAAGCCAAGAAATCTGTACAAACTCGTTAAATTAGCCCTCAACTTCCTAGTCACTTCTCCATAATTTGCCCCCTCCTAGTCCAAACCCCTTTGTCTTGTCAGTTTTCCACAAATTTATTGTTTCTTTGACTATAAGATATAAAGATAGACCCTGACTTATGACTTTTTTGACTTTAATATGGTGAGAAAGCAGTTTGCATTCAGTAGAAACTATACTTCAAATTTTTAATTTTGCTCTTTTCCCAGCCTACCAATATGCAGGACAATGCTCTCTCGTAATGCTGGACAACAGCACCGCCTGCAACTCCTCACAGTCAAGAGGGTCAAGAACTGATACACTTACAATCGTCCTGGACGCATACAACCATCCTGTTTTTCACTTTCAGTACAGTGTTCAATAAGTTACATGAGATACTCAATGCTTTATTATAAAATAGGCTTTGTGTCAGATGATTTTGTCTAACTGTAGGCTGGTATAAGTGCTCCAAGCACATTTAAGGTAGACTAGGCTAAGCCGTGATATTTGATATATTAGGCGTATTAAATGCACCTATTTACAATGGGGGTGCTAATCCCACTGTAAATTGAAGATCTGTAAAAGCTTCCTGCTCTGGTCACTTCTTCAGGTCTTCATTCTCCATGTACATGTAAAAAAATTATTTAAACTTGTATGCTTTTCTCCTATAAATCTATATTATGTCAATTAATTCTTAGGCCCAGCCAGAGACCCTAAGAGGGTACAGACTTTTTCCTCTCCTGCAGAGTTAAACTTCACAGAAAGGGTAAAATTTCAATTTTAGAAAAGAAGAAATCAGGTCAGGAAGGTGGAATGACATGCAGACTGGTAAGGAAGGGAGAAGGCACATAGCAGGCTGAGAGGATAGTGCATAAACAGTCTTGTCAGAGCACAGCTCTTCTATAAAGAACAAACTGGAAAAGGCAGAGTGTGATGAGATTATTTGAAGAGTTCAGATTACGACATGTGAACCTCAGCAGGAAAGAGTACTTCTATCAAATTTTTATATAGTTCATATAAACATTCCTGAAAAGTACACACAGAGTAGGCAACTTGAGAAAATTACTTACTGAACCTAATACATAATGTGTGACAAAGTTAAAGTAAAGCTCGTTTACATTAGGCAGAGACACTACCTAGAAAACAGACATGAAGAATTCTCAGATTCACTAATCTTTCTGTTAAGATTTCATTCTTTCAAGCTTCCTGAACTAGAAGTTTCCAAGACAAAATGTTGACTTCTGATTTCTAAGGTTTTTAACACACATGAGTCATTCTTGATTTTTCTTCTTGACCAACTCTTGACTATTTCATTACTACAACATGAGCATGCAGGAAAGAAAAAGGAGGAGAGGACTAAAGTGAAGCCTACAGGTTTCCGAAATACAGTCAGGACATGATGTAAAGAAGATTAAATTTCAAGTTCCAATTCCCATTACTAATATTTTGATTTCAAAGAATTCATTCAGTCTCACGGTGTCTCAAATGTTCTCACTCGCTTTCTTACATATCTGAAAGGTTACTCCATTCAGTATCACCAAAAAGTGCTCTAAAAACTAACTACAGGCATAACTCACTTCATTGCATGTGACTTCTTTATTGCACTTCATGAACAGTGCATTTTTTACATATCAGGCTGGTGGTAACCCTGTAATGTCATATGATAATTAGCATTTTTTTAACAATAAAGTATTTTTTAATTAAGGAATGTATTTTTTTAGACATAATGCTATTGCACACTTAATACATTACACAATAGTGTAAATATAACTTTTACACGCACTGGGAAACAAACAAAAAATCTTACTTTATCGTACAACCAAACCCACAATAGCCTCTGAGGCATGCACGTACATGCCACGCAAACTGTTATCATTAAGGGTTTAATGAGAAAAGAGTGAGGTTGTTGGCTGAACCAAGGTTTAAAAACCACCTGTGGACAATAATGCTCTATATTACCCTAAATTGGTACTACTCTATTATTTAAGAAAATTCCTGAATATAACCACACTTCACGTGGTTAAAAAAGAAATACTCAAAGGAAGGGGACTACCGGACATACTCTGCCCCAAAGAATCAAAGGCTAACTCTTAACTATTTGCAACTCTCTGGAGAGTCCTATATGACTCTGAACTTTAAAGCATTCTAATAATTCTAAACAAAATGAGTTTGAAATCACAGCTCAATACAATAAGGTGAGTATGAACTCTAACCACCTAGAGGCTAAACCCATGCATGTAGAGAATTTTGTATCCAGATAATTGTAGGACACACACATTTAATTATATTCTAGTTGAGTATCAGACTTGTTTACAGAGATGTTGCTTGGCAACAAGCAGCGCTTTAACAACCTACTCAGTTTCAGATATACTCAAGTAATCTGTGCTTACAGTTTGAACACATTATGAACTATATACTATGTATGAGAAACTAAGAAGTTTCTTGTTATTCTAGACATCTTCGAGATTTTACTGAAATAGTTTCATCATTACAAGTCGTGTGACCAAAAGCTTTTAAAATACTTGGCAGTGGGCATTCTTAAGAGCTAAGAGCCCATTTATTTTGGTCAAAAGTTGCACACTAAGGACATAGATTGTCCGTTTAAGCTCAGCATACACTCACATATCCTAATGTTATCCTTGTAATGACAGCCAAAATCACCCCGAACAGTTTTCGGGGTCAAGGTAAACGGCAGCATAATTGTTTTCACACAAATGAAACTGGAGGTACCCCACGTTTAGCCAATTTTTAAACCAGGGCTACCCAAGCATTACGCTAAAGTGCATCAAAAAGCTCCATAAAGAGTTTCATGTGTACTTAATTGGCGACAGAACATTCTCACAACCTACATTTCTAACACCTGCTCCAACTGCTTTACAGGAAAAGTAACAACAGAAAAATTCAAGGGCAAGTTGTGAAAAAAAAAAAAAGCCATGAGTATCCCAAACTACGGACAAGATAGCGTTACGTACCTGACTCACACGGCCCTTGCAACCTGCGCGCAGAAAACTTAACAGTAACCCGTGTCTCGGCCGCACTCGCCACCAGGGGACACTTCCACAGCTCCAATCACGGGCACTCACGGCACTCTTCTCGCCGGGGCATTGGGGCCACGGGAAACAGTCTCGCACGCGGGGTGCTGGCCCAGCCCGCCACGCCTGGCGAGGTCTCGGAGGCCGCTCGAGGCGCAGGCTGGAGGAGGAGCAGGAGCCGGCGAGCCGAGCGCGCCCCGCGGGCTCCCAACCCCAGGGGAAATGGGAGGTAGCCCGGGAGAACTCCGAGGGCCGAGAGGGAGGACGCGGAGGTGGCGGTAGAGAAAAGCCCCGCTCCTCCTCGGTGGACAGGCCTTCTCAGGTCTGGGGGGGCGGTGCTGACGTCTGGGCAGGAAGCCACCCTCGGCCCGCCGCCCGCCGCCCCCCGCAACCTCAAACCCCGCGGAGCGGGCGCGGTCTCGAGACCTAAAGGCGCGCAAAGCAGGAAGTCCCGCCCCCACGCCGACGTCACCGACGCCGCGGCCCGAGGCCGTTAGAGGGCGGAGGCTGGCGGACCGAGGCGGGAATCCCGGGGCTCGGGTGGCTCTCCGAGGGACACTAGGAGACCGCAGAGATCCCCTGAGCCGAAGGGAGCGGACAGTCCGGGACCGCGCACTTGCTTCCGGGAGCCAGAGGGACGAGCGCGGTTGAGCGGGAAGCCGCTCTCCGTCTCCTCCTTCCCACGCAACATCTCCAGGCCTTTCCCGTCTCGCGCTTCCCCATCCCTCTGCCGGCTCTTCCTACACTTTATTCTCTGAGACTGCGTTAGTGGTCCTGCCGCCACCCCCGCCTGCCTTCGTGCCTGACCGTGCAGTCAGTGGGTCCCGAAGTCTCCTGCCTCCCGCCTCAGCCGTGGGGCCTCATACCACGACTGGGGAGCCGGCGCGGCTCGCAGACAGGGAACGGCCAGGTCAGGACCAGGGCCCAGACGCGAATCCTTCCCCGCCGCCGCCCCAATCTTTTCGCATAGTTACCTCAGATTCAGGGCCCACTGGGGGTAGCATTGTGAACGATTTGTCTTTAGGTTGTAAACTAGAGTTGGAAGACAGGTACTAGCTTTTGACAACGTCAGTTATATGCCGAGAGCTGAAATAAAGTAGGGTTTCAGCCTTTCAGAAGAGGAGGTAGGAGAAATAGGCACCCTCCCTTCTCCCACGGTTGTTCTGTGCCTTGGTTGGGTTTTGACTCTCACTACCATATGGAGTGCCGCTTATTCCCCACCCGACTCCTCCTGCCCCCGCCCCCGCCCTAGGGTAACATTTTCGGGCTCTAGTTAGGATTAGAAAGGCAACTGAGATAGGAGCTTTTTATTGAAATGAGGAAAGAGGAGCTATTAGATGGGACAGTGAGTTGGGTAATGGAATGTTAATGGATGGGTCACGTAGATGCGGGAGAGATCAGTGAACAGAATATAGAATCCAGAAATAAACTGCTATGTACGTAACCGTGTTTAATGATAATAACTCATATCTACTGAACACTTAACCTGAAAAAGGGCTCCAGTAGTTGATACGTTATCTTGTTTAACTCTCTGTAACATAGATGCAATTATTATCTTGATTTTACAATGTCAGCCAGAGCCATAACTGGTAGATGTTGAAGTCAGGCAGTCTTACTCCAGAAGTCTCAGTGGTATCAGTAAACTATATGTTACAAATCATTGGTCAGTGGGAAAGAGATTATCTGAGGAATACTAAACATTGGGGACAGGTTTTGCATATTTTTTATATGTTAAATAAATACCAGATGAATCAAGAATTTAAATGTGAAGAATGAAGCCATAAAAATACTACAAGAAAATCAAAGTGACTTATCTTTATAATCTTGAGCTGAGAAAGGCCTTTTCTAAGTATGAAGCAAGAACCAGAAACCATAAAAGAAAAAAGTTGATAAAAGTTAACCACATCAAGATTCTAATCTACACACAAAGTCGTAACATACACATAAATAATAACCAGTGGAAAATAAATGTGTATCATGTGAAACAAGAATGAAAAACTTTACGAATACACAAAAAGCTCATAGAATATCGATTCTAAAACTCAACACTATAAGTTAAATTGTCAAAGGATACCAATAAGACATTCCTAAACCAAGAAAAAAGAACATGTAATTAACAGATGAAAAGATGTCCAGACATCCTTTTTGTCTATCAGTGTAGATAGTGAAATGGACATACAATTACCGTCACGCATTATTGGTGTGAAACTGAAATTGGTACAGCCTTATTTACCAAAATTTAACATAAGCATTAGCCTTTGCCCCAACAATTTTATTTCCTAGTTATTTGCTCTAAAGAAAATAAAAAGTTTACAATGATGTTCCTCACTCCCTTTTTGTAATAGGTGCTTCTAGAAAAAACATAACTACCTCACTAGGACACTAGTTAAATATATTCTGATACCTACATACAATGAAATACCTTTGAGCCATTAACAACTATGAGGTAAATCTCTTTATTTACATGAAAATATGCCCAAGGTATATAGGGTTTTTTTCCCTCAAAAAAGCAGAATGCAGTTTAGCATGAACAGTGTCAGCCCAACATAAGTGTGTGTGTGTGTAATGTGAATGTTAAGTATAAAAAGATTAGGAAGGATGTCGGACAGAATGCAACTGATTTTTATTTTATCTTTTGGACTTTTCTATTTTGTTTGAATTTTTTATGATGAATATATCATTTTTACAAAAACAAAATTGTGTTTTAAATAAAAATATGCCAGTGAAAGTTCACTACAGACCCTCACAGGTGGACAGCCAATGTGAAGTAATTATATTTGGGATCTAAATCTCAGCTTTTTAAGTGTCCAAGATTTGATTACATTAATTTGCCTAGAGTTGAGCAATCTGTCACTTAGACATCATGATTCTGACTCCCCAGATTGGACTGGGTATCCTTCCTATTTGCTCTCTCTGTGCCTCTCATAGTCTTTGACACACTGAACTGTAATTCCTTCTGTCACTATTTACTCCTGCCACATACACACACATCCTTTTTCTGCCATATGTTATGTGTTTATTTCCCTCAATTCATTTTCTGTCATATACTTTATTTTTGTGTGCAGAAGTTTTCATTTTAATGTAATTATACAGATACTAAAGAGATAATTTCAACAACTTTATGCCAGTAAATTTAACTTAAGTGAAATGGACACATTCCCTTAAAAACACCAAAAAAAAAAAAGAAGAAGAAAAGAAAATCTAATTATCCCAAAATCTATGAAAGACATTGAATTTGTAATCAAAAACATTCCCACGAAGAAAACTCCAGGCCCAGACAGCTTCACCTGTAAATTTTGTCAAGCATTTAAAGAAGTTAAAATACCATTCAGGAACACTTCCAAACTAATTTTATAAGGCGAACATAATCCTGATACCAAAAGGAGACTTGACAAGGACATTTTACAAGAAAATTACAAACCAATATCTCATGAATATAGATTTTTTTTTATTCTTAATGAAATATTGGCAAATTGAAACTTGGAATATACAGGATAAGATATGACCAGAGAAAATGAGTTAACACTACATTCACCACATTAACAGAATGAAAAACAAAATGATAGTCTCAATAGATGCCGAAAAAGCATCTGACAGAATTCAAAATTCATTCATGTTAAAAACTCTCAGTAACCTGCGAATAGAAGGGAACTTCCTCAGTATGATAACATCTTTGAAAAATATAATGGTGAAATACTTTTCCCCTATAATCAAGAACAACATAAGAAGGTCTACTCTCAACACTTCTATTGAGAATGATACTGCAAGTCTCAATGCAATGATCCAATAAGAAGAAGCATAAAGACTGGAAAGACTTGGACTTCCTTATTGCAAAACTTATAACAAAACTACATAATCAAGACAGTGCTGTACTGCCAAAAACATACATAAATATAGATCAGTGGACTAGAATTCACAGGCCATAAATAAAACCTTACATTTATCATCTATTGTCTTTGTACAAAGGTGACAAGACAATTCAATGGGGGAAAGAATAGTCTTTTCAATAACTGGTGCTGGGAAAACTAGATATCTACATGGAAAAGAATGAACGCGGACCTCTACCTCACACTCTGTACAAATTTTGAATCAAAGATCTAAATGTAAGGGCTAAAACTATAAAACTCTTGGGAAGAAACATAGCCATAAATCTTCATGACAATTTATTAGGTAACAGTTTCTTAGATGTGACACCAGAAGCACAAACAAAGGGAAAAAGGATAAATTTCACTTAATCAGAACTAAAAAACTGCTTTGAAGAATACTATCAAGAATGTGAAAAGATAACCTACAGAACAGGAGAAAATATTTGAAAATCATACCTGATAAGGGACTTGAATTCAAGGTATATAAAGAATGCTTAAAATTGAACAATAAAAAGACAACCCAATTTAAAAGTAAATAAAGGATTTGAATAGAAATTTCTCCAAAGAAGGTATACAAATGGCAAATATGCATATGAGAAGCGATCAACATCATTTGTCATTAGGGAAATACAAATTAAAACCACAAAGAGACACCACTTTATACCCACCAGTATGGTTATAATCAAAAAATGGACAATAACAAGTGTTAGTAAGGCTGTAGAGAAATTGGAACCCTCATATCTCTGTGATGAGAATGTAAAATGGTGATTTGGGAATGGTTTGGCAGTTTCAAGAAGTTAAATATAGAGTTACTGTATAACCCAACAGTTCTATGTGAATGGAAACTTATGTTTACACAAAAGCTTGTACACAGATATGCATAGTCATATTATTCATAATAACCCAAAAGTAGAAACAACCCAAATGTCCATCAAGTAATAAATGAATAAACAAAACATACTGTAATCTTTGTAATGGAATATTATTCAGCCATAAAAAGGAATGAAATACCGACTCCTGATACCACCCGGATGAACCCTGAACACATTATATGCTAAGTGAAAGACACATATTTTATAATTCCATTTATATGAAATGCCCAAAATAGGCAAATTGATAGGGAAAGAAAATAGAAGTTGTTAGGGGATGAGGATGGGGACAATGGGAAGTGACTACTAATGAGTATGAGGTTTATATTTGGAGTGATGAAAATAGCCTGAAATTAGTGGTGAGGATTCATAGCTTTGTGAACATACTAAAAACCACTGAATTGTACACTTGAAAAGGGTGAATTTTATGGTATATGGATTATATCAATAAAAAATTAGAAGTAAAACTGTATTCACAGGCAACATGGTTATATACTTCAGAAAAGCATATGGAATATACAAGAGAGCTACTAGGACTAATAAATTAATAAAGCAAGTCATAGGAAAAAGGATCAATATACAAAAATCAATTCTATGTACCAGCAACAAAAATTGGGAAATGAAATTGAAAACAACACCATTTAT